AATGAGAAAAAGTAATTGAAAATTTAAATACTTCTTATAAAAATATATATATTATTATATATTTAGTATGACACTTTTTTATTTGTGCGACTTACTTGTGTTATATTATAATAATTTTTTAACATACAACATATAACTACATTAAACATAAATATATCAATTGAGAAATAATTTTATTTTTCTAATGAATTTTAATAAATATTATTATTTTTTATAATTATAAAGATAAATATAGTTTATTTATTTCATATATACAATATAGATGTCAAATCGAAGATCATCAAAAGATGATTAATTTGCTATATTATATATGTAAAACCGATAAGAAATACAAAACTTATCAACTTTTAAAATACATTTACAATTAAATAACTAATTGAAGGAAACTAATCAAAAGTCAAGGATATATTAGTCACTTAATGTCTCACTAAGTAAAATTACAAAGAATTAAAGGGTTATATTAGTACAAGTGATATTAAAATACCTAAGTTAGCTATTTAATATTTATGGAATGTCCGAACCTAGATTATAAATTATTAATATATCAATATTATTTTTCCAAACCTAATTACGAAGCATGATTCTTTGCCAAGTAGGATTCCGAAGCACCAGAAGCAGCCATGTAGGCTCAGCGCATTCGGGAATAATATATAAGGAGGACTAGCGGCAAATGGTCGCATTTATTTTTATATCTAAATAAATTTATTATTTATAGGAATATTGAAATATTCATGTTTTTTAGTTTCTATATTGTAAAGCAATTTGAAGAACAAAATAAAATATTTTCAATTGAGCATTAAATAACTTAAATTAAATACCAAATGAATGAAGGAGAAACAAAAGAGCAAAAAATTAGTATTATTTTCTCCCACTCAACAATATATGACAGGAAGCAAAAGGATGACACAGTACAAGCTTGTTAGAGCACTTTGACACAAACACCTAATCAAATAAACATGAAAGAGTAGAAGATGTGCATCAACTATATCACAATCACTCTTGTGATTTTAGAAGAATATCAACTATATGATATAAACTCCTGAGCATCGGGTAGATACTCTAAACTATAGTAGCAATGGGATCTTCTTGTAATTTTAGAAGAATGTCTTCATGAATGTCAATATCGGCACAATTGTAGTTCGATCGACCAATTGTACAGTCGCTGATGCTGGCAAGTCACTCCGAGGAACGCCTCAACTCATCGTACTTATCACCCCCACCAAGATTTTGAAGTCTCATATATATTCTGAGTCAGTCTCAGAACGACACAACCGCACCATATATAATGAGCATATGTCTAGGTATTAATTTTATTAAAATAAAATATATAGGGTACTCTGTCTTATTTTTTGATGTTTACACAGATATATAATTTTACATTCCCTTATATTATGAAACCATTAAATTTGTAAAAAAAATGTTTCATTTTGTTTATTATTAAAAATTAGTCAAGTCATGTATATGCGCTGATGTATTAGGGTTAGCTGAGCGAGATTTGTGTTGCATCTAAGGCTGTAATTACCAGTATTTTATTATAAATATATGTTTACATAATCATCATATCTTTTTATTA